GGGGGTTGTCTTTTGGACTTTCCGTTGACCCCTTGTCGCCTCTGCCGTTATGTATAACTGGGATGTGTTCCGACAGACAACGACTGCTGACGTCACTGGTGACTAAAGGCAGTTCATTTGGAACCTTGGCAGGGACTGCAAGGACCTCAGGCACTGGGAATTTTCTGTGGAGACATATAATACGTACACAAAGGTTAAACGTGGTAACACACATACACAGAAGATCAACTGTGGTGACACACATACACAGAAGATTAACTGTGATGACACACATACCAAGTCGCGAACCGCGGGACCACACATACAATGTATGTACATAGGTGTGAACTGTTTGACCACTAATACACAGAGGTGGATCTTATGAACACACACTTAATTACGTGAACCTTGTGAACACACACAAACATATTTATGGGAACCGTGGGAACACATTGGCTTAATAATGAACAAACCTCAACAGTGTGACTTCATATACAAAGATGCGAACCTTATGAACACTCTCATACACATTGTATGAACAGTTGGAACACACATACACAGATGTGTATTATGAAAACTTAAATATTATACATACTTAGACGTTAAACGTGGATCAAACACATTGTGATGACGTAGCGTAAAAGGGAGTTAACTCGGTATGGACTGGCTTAGGAATATCTACAACATTATTGAAGTTATCTACCCTAAATAAAAGTTCCTCTGTTTTTCTGTCTCTTTTAAGAGTTTCGACTCCAGTCACTGGTTTCACGAGGGACAGTCAATAAATATCTATAACTAGTCTACTTTAACCAAGCAGATGTCTCTCCACCCTTCACTAGGATATCCGAATGTTCCGACATGCAGCGTGTGTGTATGTATGTGTGTGTGTGTGTGTGTGTGTGTGTGTGTGTGTGTGTGTGTGTGTGTGTGTGTGTGTGTGTGTATTTCGCTATGTGAATGAAAGAAGAGAGAAAAAGAAAGTGGCAAATAGAATAGGAGAGACAGACAGACAGACAGACAGACAGACAGACAGACAGACAGACAGACAGACAGACAGACAGACAGACAGACAGACAGACAGGCAGGCAGACAGACAGACTGACAGACAAACAGACAGAGAAAGCAACAAAAAAAGGAGATAGAAACAGGAAGAACAAACCAGTGAAAGCAAAAGAGACGCTTTAACGCGCGTTCAGGGTTTAGACAACCCACTTCTTATTAATTGTATTGACCTAAACTGTGTCGATTGATGCGCACAAACTTTCTACATACATGTATTCAATCGTACTTACGAGAACAGAGGGGAACTTGCTGGTTGATCAGATCCAGAAGAAAGTTATTCAGGCGGTCTCCGATATTGCCACAGTTGGACAGTCCTGGAACCCTCACACTGAAGGCAATGTTGCTGTTTCTATTGCTGTTGTTGTTGTATCTGTTGATGTTGTTGTTGTTGTAATAGCTGGGGCTAATTCTGTTGACGGGCGGTCTCTGGGCTGAGGAATACAGGGAAAGGGGTTTCATTAATTTTATCAGTAGTATTGTGCAATTAATGTTTTTGCTTTTTGTGTTGTTGTTGTTGTTGTTGTTGTTGTTGTAGTAGTTGATATTGTTATTATTATTAGTATTATTATTATTATTATTATTATTATTATTATTATTATTATCATTACTGCTATCACTGTTTAATATTTTGTTAGTTTATTCTACAGTAGTAGTAGTAGCCTACTACTACTAATACTAGTAGTAGTAGTAGTAGTAGTAGTAGTAGTAGTAGTAGTAGTAGTAGTAGTAGTAGTAGTAGTAGTAGTAGTAGTAGTAGTAGTAGTAGTAGTAGTAGTAGTAGTAGTAGTAGCAGCAGCAGTAACAGTTGTAGTAGTAGTAGTATAATTAATAATAGTGATAATAATAATAATAATAATAATAATAATAGTAGTAGTAGTAGTAGTAGTAGTAGTAGTAGTAGTAGTAGTAGTAGTAGTAGTAGTAGTAGTAGTAGTAGTAGTAGTAGTAGTAGTAGTAGTAGTAGTTGTTGTTGTAGAACAACTTCCCGGGAAGCTGAGAATGTTTCGGAGTGTTCTATGGTCTGCTGGGGTAATTATATAGTGTAAAGCGCATAGAGCCTGCTGTTGAGCGGGGATATGCGCTATACAAATGCTATCTATTATTATTATTAGAAGCAGTAGCAGTAGGCTAGTAGTAAAATAACGTAGAAATCATTTTATTGCGCCCACCCCATTGTGCAAACAGCTTTAGCTGCTATAAGAATTGCATAAATACAAATTTCATAAATGAACTATAACTAAAAGAATCAATTAATCAATTGATCGTAAGCACACATAGAAGAAATGACGCGCCAGCGCACAAACAAACGCGCACACACACACACACACACACACACACACATACACACACATACACACACAAACACAAACACAACCCCTACTTT